TTAATTCAGGGATCCCAGGATTGGAGATTCCAGCATTTTCAGGGCATTCCATTGAATTCCAGACTGGTTAATTCAGGGATCCCAGGATTGGAGATTCCAGCATTTTCAGGGCATTCCATTGAATTCCAGACTGGTTTGGGTCCCAAGGGACCTTCAATCCCATCCCACCCCTGCCATGGACACCTCCCATTATCCCAATCCAACGTGGCCTTGGACAATTCCAGAGATCCAGGGGCAAATCCTGAGCCATGAACTCCCCCTCCAAGCATTTTTCCTGGCTGGATTTTTGGTGACCACTACAAATCCTCTCCACTCAGGAAATATTCCCAACAAACTCATATTCCCTAGGGAGCAGAAGAAAAAAAAAAAAATCCATTATCCAGTGCCTCATTCCTAAAAAAAACACCCACCCCACCTCCAAATTGTTCCTGTGATCCCAACTGCCCTTCAAGCCCCTTGGAAATGGGACACACATTTCAAGATGTATTAAAATGAAAGGCCTGAGATCCTGCAAAAATCAATTCCCAGGAGGTCGTGTAATCCTTGTTCCCTGAGGAATTAGGCTGGAAATGTCAAGGATTAATGAACACAGCAAAACCACAAATTTTTGCTGCATCCCAAAGAAACTGGGATTTAGATCCCTCCTCCAAAATGTCATTTTACAGCTATTTTTTATTAATTTTCACTGCATAATTAAGCAATGTGAGAGAAGCATTGTGTCGTGGTGGGATTAAAGGGAATAATGGGGATTAGGAAAGGCCTGGAGCCACTCCAGTAATACTTTAATCCTTGCAAATACACCCCTGGCCTCCTGGCAGTGAAAAAAAAATAAAATAAAATAAGGCAAAGTGCCAAAAAAAAAAAAAAAAACCTCCAACACGAATAAAAAAATATTCCCAAGGGAGATAAATCTGACAGTCCTGGCAGTGCTACATCCAGAGGGCAGGAATATCTGAACTCCACAAAAATTACCAATGGATCAGGAGCAGGAATTGATTTATCCATGCATTTTACAGGCCAGGCTCGATCCCAGCTCCTTTTATTCCAAATTGGTTCTGTTTCCACAGATCATGTGTCCAAAAATCTGTTAAAATCTATCCCAAAGACAGACTGGATAATTCTGGTTTGGCTTGGAATTTTTTAGGAAAGCCAGGCCAAAATCAAACATTTTTTTTTCTGAGATGATTGTGTGACCCAACTTCCACAAATCTTTATGGAATTGGGTGGGATGGGAACAGAGAGAGGTTCAAGTCTTGAGGTGTAAATCCAATTTATTTGTTAGAATAAATCCAATTTATTTGTTATAATTCCAAGGGGAGGTTGGGCAGGGCTTGGAGCTACCTGGGATTGTGGAAGGGGTCCCTGGCCATGGGCAAGCTGAGCTTGAAGGTCTTTTCCAACCCAAATCCTCAGGGATTCTGTGATTCCAGCAGAAATGTGGATAACACAGGCTGTGCTCACATCCATGGGATGTGCCCTGGGGTCTCTTCCAGGCCCAATGTGGAGCCAAAATTGAATTTTCCATGAGTAAGGTGGAGCAGATCAATGGAATTGAAGAAAGTTCTCCAGCCCTGAATATCCCAGGGCTGGGATAATGGCCTGAGGAATGACTTCAGGTTGTGAGATCCAATGGGATATTTTAGGCTGAAAAAGAGGAGATGGGAAAATTCCTCTTTTTTAAGGTACAAATTCGGGTGTGTTGCTGTTTTGTCACCCCCTGTAGAGAGCAACACTCGTCTGGGAACTCTGAGTTTTCCCTCAGGAATTCAGTGGGATATGTGGGCACACTGACAGGTATTTTCCTGTCTCCTTATTTCCTGTTTTCCCTGCCCTTTTCCATCTTGGGAAAAGCCTCCATGATTTTCCACCACGGAAAAAATTCCAGAGGAATCATAAAGGGCTTTTCCAACATAAACAATTCCACGATTTTATGATTTAGTCCCAGTAGAAGAGCTGGAGAAGAACAGGAATATCCAGCAGGGAATGGATGTCAGCCCTAAAATTCCTGATGGACACCCTGCACCACACATCCAACAAGCAGGAGAAATTTGGGATCATGGTGCAGTGATCCAGGCTGGATCTGGGGGTGCTGGGACATCTCCATGTTCCCATCCCTCTATTCCCACATGGCACAGGAGGAGTTCTTGGGAATGTCCTGTTCTGGCAGGGCACAAACATCTTCATTTTGGGTCTCTTCCCAGGGATTAAATGAAAATTGTGGAAAGCCAAAGAATTGGATTTCGACCCTCAACTGTCCATGAAGGTGGAAAAATTCTGCTGGGATCAGTCAAGGGAAGGGAAGAGGGTGGCCCAGCCTCTTCCTGCTCTAATTAAGACTTTTCCATACTTCATAAGAAGTGGAGGGACAGGGAAACACATTCCCACATTTTTACACCTCCCAGGAAGGCAGGGACACGTGGAATGAGGAATAATCCCCAACCAAACCCCATCCCTCCCCTCCTCCCAGGAGCAGAAAACACTGGAAAAGACAGAAAATACAGCTGGCAATGGAAAAGGTACCCAAAATTCCAGAGTGGTTTCTTTTTTTTTTTTTTTCTTTATAAAATGTACATAAAGAACATGAAACCCTTGAGGTAAAAGTGAGAGCAGTTTGGAACTCAACCAGATACAGACCCAACAATGACCCAAAATCAATCTACAGCAGGGGGGAGGGGTGTAGGAAAATAAGAGAGCAAGTCTGGGTTCTGTACAACAGTGGAGATCATTAAAATGTCCTCGTTATCCTATTTACATTAAATACATCCCAGTACAGGTATTTATAGGCTATTTACAGACACAAAGACTACGTTTGTCCCCTTGCAGCAGCAGATCCGAGCGTTCCTGAGAAGGTGCTGAGGCTTCTTCACTCTTACACTCAAGAATTTGTGTTCCTTCAATCCATCCAATAATTTCCCCAGGCCTGGTTGTTGCAGTGATGCCGTTTTTCCCCTCCCATCTGTTGCCTGCAAAAATCCTGGATCCCGAGGGATCAGCTGGAATTTTTCTCCAGTTGTAGCCATGACCTTGGTGGTGAGCAAAGCTCAACATTCACTTGTCCAAGCACTCGACATTCCAGTCTCTATCTCAGTGGGAAAAAAAAAAAAAAACCCAAAACCTTACAGAGACTGGAAAAGGAAGGAAATTGTTTGTAAGTCACCTGTCATAGGTCCTGTAAGGTGACATCCAACCCTGGATGTGTCACACAAGGAGCCAGGTCACGCCAGGATGCACAGATCCATCCATCCCATCCATCCAGACCCACCCACGGGGAGCACAAATGGCCCCGTCTGGGTTTCAGTTTCCTATCAGGAATCTGAGATGGATTTTATCACTGTCAGGTGTTGGAACAACTGCCCAGGGCAGTGGGGGAATTGCCATCCCTGCAGGGATTTCAGGGCCCTGTGGATGTGGCACTTGGGGACATGGATCAGTGGTGGCCTTGGCTGTGTTGGGGCATGGTTGGACTCGATGTTCTCGGAGCCAATTCCCGACCTGAGTGATTCCATGATTCCATGGTGGTGCTCCCAGTGGGAAATGACTGGTGGCTCATGGCTGAACTGGGATGTTTTAGGGAATTTGAGGAGGGAATTTCTCCTCACACCTACAGAGTCCCTCGTGTTCTCTGGTGTTCCCTCAGTCTGCTCCCACTTGAGTTTGAAAGTCACAAAAAATATCCAAGGCCAGGCTGGATGGGCTTGGAGAAACTGGAAGAGTGGGAGGTGTCCCTGCCCATGGAAGGGGTGGCACTGGATGGGATTTAAGGTCCATTCCAACCCAAACCATTCTGGGATTCTGGGATGAGTTGAATTCGAGCTCCCCAGTCTGGTAGATCCAAAGGAAAAGGAAATAATATTTTAATATTTAATATTTAAGGAGCAGCAGGATGTACAATCCCAAATTCCCTGTGTTTGCATTAATGATTGTCCCTGTATCATACAGACCATAATTCCCTGCCTACACCAACATTCCCATGGGATCTGGGGGTGACACAGTCAGGGGCTGAGGGACAGAAATCTCTGGAACACTGCAAATCCCATGAATGTGGGATTGCAGGAGCTGCAGGTCCCTAAATTCCTTTGCCCGAGGATAATCCAGTGCTTTCATTCCTTCCGTGCTGACTGGCACCAGAGTCGTGGTGCAGCATGCCAAAAGGGGAGAACATTCCTGCTTGTTTTCCATAAAACAAGTAAAAAAGAATTTGAAATGTAAAATGCACCTTTTTTATAGCTTTTGATAGTTTTATGGAAAAATCCAAGAATTATTCGAGACGGCTCCCAGTCTCTTTATTAGCATGGAGAGGCAGGGAATGCTTGTAACTCCAAACTGGGGTTTTTTTTTATGGAAATGCTCCAAAAAGCCATTTTCCTGATAGATCACACACTTCTAGGGGAGGAAGAGAGTTTCAATTACCCTTCAATATATGAAAAAAAACCATTCCCAGCGGGTAATTCTCCCAAAATAAAACCAGGAAAGCCTTTTCCACTCAGCATGGAAAAAAATCGGATCCTTCTGCCTGAACTGCTCCCTACAAAGGGAATTCACTGCCCTGACTAGGCAGGAAAAGAGAAAATTAACAAGAAGCTGATGATTGACTTTGTTTCAAAGTCTGGGGATCCCAATCACCCCAAAACTGATTATTCCATTTCCATGGTGGATGCAGCAGGAATTCCAGTGGTGGATATGAAGAAAAGCTCTGGGATCAGTGGAGGTTGGGACTTGCAGATATTTGGAGGCTGGAAGATGCAGCTCCATCACTTTTGGGGGAACCAGCAGGTCCTGATGCAAATGAAATGGAAATTTTACATTCCCAGGCAATTCTGGCCTTCAAATCCTAATTGTGCATCCACGGTGTCATTGGAATGGGTTTATTCCCTTCTCATCCATGTTTTAATCCCTCCTTGTGTCCCATCCAGGATCCAGGCCAGGCTGGAGAAGAGGGGGGTTGGTGGCACGGTGAGATCCGAGTGTTTCATGATTTTATGTGGGATTCAGGTTGTCCTGAGCAGCTGCCCCTGGATCCCTGGCAGTGCCCAAGGCCAGGCTGGACATTGGGACACTGGGAGGTGTCCCTGCCATGGCACTGGGGGGGATTTTTGGTCCCTTTCACCCAAACTACTCCAGAATTCTTCAATTCCATGATTTCACATTCAATGTGCTTTGTGAAAGAAAAAGGGAAGTTGTCCTGTGCCATCCTCATCCTCCCAGACCAGCCTGAGAGAGAACTGCAAAAACCTGGAAAACCCATCCTGTGCTCCACCTTCCTCTGCTTTGGGAACACCCAGAGAATTCCTGCAGCCATCCCATCCAACCCAGCCACTTTTCCCAACATCCCAGGACTTCAGTTGCTGCACAGTTCAGTATTTGATGTCCAGTTTAAAAATCCATCAGGGACATTTCATGGTTGGATACTCCAGAACTGAATCCGAGCGTTTTCAAATTCCAGGGAACTGCCAGTTCCAACTGCCTTTGATTGCTGATCCAATATTTTCACATCCATTTTCAGTCCAAAATGTGAAATAAAATAAAAATCGAGAGTAGAAAATTCATATCTCAATTTGTTCTTCTTATTCATGGCCTGGAGTAGGATCTCATTTCCTTTTCAGTGCTTTATTTTGAGAATGTAAAAGAAGATAAAACTACTCCTACAATCAACATTAGGAAGAGAAATCCTGCTTTTCTCAGCACCTCCTGCACCCCAGAATAAAACAGGAACAGGCATAGGAATACATTTCCTTTCCCACAAAAACCTGGGATTTTCAGGACACACAGATTATTCTGCCCTGAAAAAAGACATTTGTGGTCTTTGTCAACGGAAATTCTTTACCAAATATTCCATGGAAGTGAGGGAAAGGAAAACCCAAATGGAAAGAGGAAACATGGATTTCAGCCTGCAGTTTTAGCATGGGATCCAAACATTGGAGCAGGATCTCCTGTTCCTTATCATCCAAGTCCTTTAGCACAGGGGGGGAGGCACAGGGCACTTCCCAAATCCTAAATTCCCACAGAGTTCCCATCATGCCACCACCAGCAGCCAGCCCTGTGGCCAGAGCTCTGCTCTGTGCCTGGAAAATCCATCTCCAATGGGCATCCAAGGTTTGGTTTGCATTTTCGAGGGGAATTCGAGGGACAAGCAGGGAAGTATTTGAAAAGGAATGGAATTCTTCCCCTTTTCCTTCAGCTTGGTCTGTGGAAGGTGTCCCTGCCTGTGGGATGAGATTTTAGTTCCCTTCCAACCAAAACCTTCTGGGATTCTGTGGAAATGATTCCCAGCCCTTCCAAAGAGAGTCCTGCCAAAATCCCCCTTGGGGAATCCTCTTGGGTCACCCCTCAGCTCCGTGGTTCTCAGGGGACATCCATGGGAAGATCCACGGCAAAGTTTGGATCCTGACTTCCAAGACACACCAACCTCTGAAGGGAAATCTGCCTCGGGGTCCCACCATGCCTGACCTGCCCATCCATCCATCCACAGTTAAAATCCAGAGATTCCAATGGGAAATTCAGGGGTTTGGTTTTTTTTTTTAAGGGTGTCAAACCCCACAGTCCATCCAGACTCAGAATTCCCAACACTTTCCAGACCCCACAGTTCATCAGACTCTGAGTTCCCATTGTCATCTAAACCCCACAGTCCATCCAGACCTGCAGTTCCCAATTCCTTCTAAACCCCACAGACCATCCAGACTCAGAGTTCCCACTTTCTTCCAAGTCCCCCAGTCCATCAGACTCAGAATTCCCACTGTTTTCCAAACCACAGAGTCCATCCAAATTTGGAGCTCCCACCATCTTCCAAACCCCATGGTCCATCAGAGTCAGAGCCACTGTTTTCCAAACCCCATAGTCCATCCAGATTTGGAGCTTCCCATTTTCATTCAAACCCCATGGTCCATGCACACTCAGAACTCCCATTGTTTTCCAAACCCCAC